TCTAGAAATGTTTTGGGACATGAAAGCGTTACAGTTTTTGGGTAATTATTCATTTACTGTCTTCCCCTCAGTAACCTCAACGGTTTATGAACAATGACCAGTTTTTCAGCATTTTTCTCTTTTGAAGAAGCTTGCTATGCTAACAGTTTCCCCCTACTTTCAGTCTTTGTGCTAAGCTAGGCTTACAGTTTCCCTCTGTGCAGTTTGATGTCCGGCCTGTCGTCGATGGAGTCTAAGGCGTGCTGTCGGATGGGTGTCCTGACTGTCACCTACTACCTGTGGACCACCTTCATCGCCGTGGTGGTCGGCATTGTGCTCGTCATCATCATCAAGCCCGGCATGGGGACTGAAGTGGAGAGCAACCGGCTGGGAGGGGGGCCCGTTATGACCTCAGCTGATGCCCTGCTGGACCTGATCAGGTGAGACAGGATATGTTCGTTGTGTTTTTCGTATCGTTATTATGATGCAGCGTAAATGTGTTGGGGTTAATTACTTGCTTGGTTAATCCGTGAATGTTACCTGCTCAACATGTGCAGCCTGTGGGATCTATTGCTTGATGTAATGAATGCTGGTCTAATAGAGAGAAATGGGATTATTATAATATCCTCTGCCCTGTATCTACAGCACTGACCTCTGTGACTTAGGAATTGTCACATCGACTAAAATCTTTATAACTGTCTGTGAATATTGATCACAGATTAGTTTTTCTGAGATTTTATACAGTTGTCTGTCTGTATTATGTATTTTTTTTTTAACAATCATGACAATATCTAAACTTAAAGTAGTATTTTTCACAGAAATGAACAAAATACTGAGATATAGGACCCCCAAGTGGGGGTTCCGACTCTCAGGTTGGGAACCACGGTTACATAGATGACGTACCAGTCATCTTATATTTCTGTTCTGTTGTCTTTATTAGCATGTGTTACTTTATATCATGATACTTGGATTGGGTTTATTTATAGGTTGGATTTTGAAATATTGTTTGCTCATTTTGGAATTTTGTATAATTTTGAAATATTTATTATAAAGGTTTTTATTTATTTATGATGACTTTGTGTATACTGATGATATTATGGTACTATGGTCCACTCTTCAGCTCCATGTATGTGATTTGGAGGCAGTCACATAGTAAATACCTTCCTGCTGCACACAGGCAATGATTGTTTGTAGACTTGTAGCTGCTCCGTATTTAAGATGGTTTCTCTTTGTTATGAACATTTGCCTGATGAAGGTCTAGTACATAAAACATAAAATACAGTTTTATGTAAAAATTGTTTCTCTGTGAACTGTCAGTCCAGGAAGAATTGATCGGCCTCAGAGACACCGGCTGAGTGGTATTGATCGTTATGTTCTGACAGATAACAAACACATAATGAAAATAATGATCAACCTAATGTCTGACAGGCTGCGATCAACAAATAGTAGGAAACACACACACTCTCACACACACGTCCATCCAATTAGTGACGAGGCTGATCACTATATTTTTAGTAATCCTGCAAGGATGAGCGACAGATTAACCGATTCAGCGGCGGTGCGATGCAATGATCTCTTCTGCGGCACGTTGGCACTCTTCAACCGGCCTCACGAGCAGAGCCAATGCATCATCATCCTGTTGACCTCTGACCCTAACCCTGTGAGAAGAGAAGAGGGGAAATGTCTCTGAGGTGGAACTGACTCAGAGACTCTGAGATGACACAGTTTGTAAGAAGTCACAGGCCAGAAATACTGGGAGGCACTAGTTAAAGGTCCAGTGTGTAGGATTTAGCAGCATCTGGTGATGTAGTTGCAGACAGCAACTCCCTCGCTTCACCATCCGCTTCCAAGTGTGTGGGAAAATCTACGGTCGCTGTGAACAGCGAGAAAAATGTCTACCTTCCTATCTAGAGCCTAGGTTTGTATGGAAGCCCATTTCCGCCAATGTGACCAAAAAAAAGACTTAGTATCTCAAAATAATGACTGCGTGAGTTAATATTTTGAGAAAGTTTTTCATGATAACAATAATAATAGAAACTTTTTTATTTGTCACATTGGTGGAAATGGGCTTCCATATCTTAAAACATGAAGACACATTTGACTTTAACATTGACACTGACAGTGGCTTAAACAGAGACTGTAAGAACCAGAGTGCTGCTATATTTACTGCATATTGCTCTGTTGCACTAATCAATCCTGTGTCTCTGCGTCCCTCCACAGGAACATGGTTCCCTCTAATCTGATCGAGGCCACGTTTCAGCAGGTGAGACAGCAGCCGGGACAAATAAAGTCTGTTAACTCTCCCAACTCCACGTCCTCTAACGACCCCCTCTGTGTCTCTTCAGTACAAAACAGACCTGGTCCCCATCCTCAAAGTCCCGGCCAGAACCATCCAGCCCAACTTCGTCTACGTCGTCCCCGATGAGACCGACCCCAAAGGTCGGACGGTGTACCTGGAGCTCACCCCCCCTCCTGATATCACGTACAAGACGAGTCCAGGCAGCAGCCAGCAGATGAACGTCCTCGGCATCGTCATCTTCTCTGCAACCATGGGTGAGCGGGATGGCGTCCGAACGATACATTACCGATCAATGCAAGATATACCGATTAATATAAATCTCTGTTGTTAAGTCCTCAAGGTCTCTGCCGTCTGAGAGCAGATATCAGTTTTTGGTCATTTATTGATCAGACGTTTCCTGCACAGACTGAATATTTATAAAAAGAATAAGCACCAGTCTAACTCTTCTTCTTCTTCTAATAACTGTGTTGTTGTAGGTCTGTTGCTGGGCAGAATGGGAGAGCGAGGAGCTCCACTGGTCAACGTCTGTCAGTGTATCAACGAGTGCGTCATGAAGATCATCAACGCTGCCGTCTGGTGAGATAAAAACTCTGAATGTATACGGGTATGACAAAAAAGGCTTCTGAAAAGGTCTTTTTAAACATTTTTAATATTAATCTAATGCATATTTTTGAGTCTGGAACAAAGTGTTTGATTCATTCATTCATTGGTAAAATAACTTTTTTAAGAGTTTAATTCATTCAGTATTTCTAACTTCGCCCCAACATTTACAAAAATTTGTATTGTAAGATATTTATATTTTTCTAATCTTTGGTATCCCTGAGAGAGTCTACTGTGACTAACACATTATTGTATCTTTAGTATCTTAAGCTTCCAATTTTACATTTTAAAGAGAGTAAAATAATTATTAAATTCTAATATTTTACTTTGAATTTGTCACTATTATGTGATTTTTAATACTTTTCTTAGCGTGTTGCGCTGCCTGACATTCTGGGATTTTGAGCTTCCAAAACATAAATAATATAATTTTTTAATGTACCTAAATTGTCCTCAAACTAAATAAGTTTTATATAATAAAATTATACGTGTCAAGAATATATTAAATGATTTTAAAAGGAAATAATACACTTTTTTATCGTCTTGTTAAATCCCAGAAATCAGCGGTTGTTAAAAAAATAAGAACAATTTGTGGTTCGAGTTCATCAGAGAAGATAAATGAACCAAACTACAGATGTGAAAACGCCCAATAAATAATAAATATTCAAACAAACCATAAACTGCAGGGATGGATCTTATTTACGTACTAGTGGATTTCACAGGATTAAATATGTTCATGTATGTGCTTCACTTTGACCCACGTGAACTCCAGCAGCTGTACTGACGTATGGTCCTCGTATGGTGACACAGAGGAGGGTTGTGCTGATCTGACCTGATGACCTGTCAGGTGGTCGGCTGATCACAACGTGCCGCTGTGACATCATCATAGTCTTCCTGCTGCAGCACATGAGCAGATTAAAGACAGTCCATACAAAGCCTAAAGCTGACCTGAACTGTGGACAGATGCACTGCTACTATATCTGTTTTATAACAGCAGTGTCCTTCAGGGTTTAGAAAGTGGGGCCCAAGGGTCAAAGTTTGCCCACCATAAGGTTTCTAGATGTTCCTAGCAACAATATGTTGCTGTATGAACATGAGGCATACACATGATACCGCCTTGTGAGGCGGTATCATCGAGCTCTGGGTGGATCTCCGTGGCTCCAAATCATCAGGGTGTTTCTTGTTCTGTCCTTTTAGGTACTTTCCGTTCGGGATCATCTTCCTGGTGGCGGGGAAGATCCTGGACATGCAGGACCCGAGCACGCTGGGGAAGAAGCTGGGCTGGTACGGCATCACCGTGCTCGCCGGCCTCTTCGTCCACGGACTAATCCTCCTGCCTCTCTTCTACTTCATCCTCACCAGGAAGAACCCCTTCTCTTTCATTCGTGGGCTGCTGCAGGCCTTGGTGATCGCTCTGGCTACCTCCTCCAGGTCAGAGTCCAGGACAGTCCTGGTTCAACCTGCTGGTCTGTGTCAGCATTTTATTGAAGTTTTATTTGAATGTCGTCTCTTCTCAGCTCTGCCACGCTGCCCATCACCATGAAGTGTCTGTTGGAAAACTGCCATGTTGACCGACAGATCGCCCGCTTCGTCCTCCCTGTGGGTGCCACCATCAATATGGATGGCACGGCGCTGTACGAGGCTGTGGCGGCCATCTTTATCGCTCAGGTTAATGACTATGAGCTGGACTTCGGCCAATTAGTCACCATCAGGTAAACCAACTCAAACAAAGTGTCTCTAGAATAATTCAGGAGGTTTTGGTAACTTTTGTGATAACACACAACAAGAAGAACAAGAACAGTAGGATACATATCGAGAAAAAGTCTCAAATGGAAACACAAATGGTAAGATGCAGTATGTGAATATTCATAATCATATCTACCACTATGGGTGTCCCACAAGAGCTTATACTTTCAGTTTGACTGCATATTAACAATCTCGCCTCTGTTATTCCTGAAAAAGAATGAGTAAGCTGGTGAAATGAAGCCATATGGAGACGATACAGTAATGTACACGCATGATTGTAGAAAATGGAACGCTGCTTCCAAACGTCCACATGCAATTAGAAACATTACAGTGTGGCTACATTTATTATGCTTTTAATTATATGTTAAAAAAATTATCTAAGCACATTTACCTCAAAAAGACCATGTACCACTACTGAATCAGATATGACATCAGGGTAAAATTGTGTTTTAGTTGAAGTGCCTGGACTGACTCTAATCTTTCCTTTAAATCTCATGTTGAGAAATATGCAAACAAGGAAGCTTTAATTTGACAAATTTTAAAACGTTAAGTTTTTTAAAGCTTCATGTGGAATTCAACGTCCAACAAAACATCCGCACTGAAACCCCTTGAAACGTTCTGAAAACATGCTCTCAAGGGTTTCGATCAGAAAAGAAACTGCTTTGACAGTTTAAAGGCATACTGATGAGGATTTTCCCAAACTGTCTGTAAACAAACCTTTAAAAGTGGGACCTCTCCTCCCCGGCTCAACTGAGAGCAGAGATGGTAGAACAAGGTAGACAGTGAATGAGTAAGGGGGCGCCGTTACAGAGAACAAAGCATTATTTTTTGTTCTGTCAAAATTAATTAAATGAATTTACTGCATGTTCACATAAAAAAACGTAATACTTTCCGTTCTCACCTTTGATATCAGAGCCTTTTCTGCAGTTTCCTTTTTGGTTTCAGGATCAGATAGTAAGTCTAACATTAGCACTGACTGGAAGTCAACTTCAATGCTCTGGATCATAGCTGCCTCTAAATTTTCATCTCTGACAGGATAATTATTTTCTGTTATTTTGTTCTTTGTCCGGCAGCATCACAGCTACAGCTGCCAGCATCGGGGCAGCAGGGATTCCTCAGGCTGGTCTGGTTACCATGGTGATCGTACTGACATCAGTGGGTTTGCCACCAGATGACATCACACTCATCGTGGCCATTGACTGGATCCTGTAAGTAGCAGTACTCTTTAGGGTTTTATCCCTGGAAACGCAATTCCCAGGAATGCCCATCCAAACCATTTCAAATATATTAAGAGGAAAATGTGTTTTGTTTTTTTTTAACCATAGAACATATTGGAATATATTTACTTTTATGTACATTTACAAATACTTTAAAAGAAATGTGTTCAAGCAAGGAGCTATAGTGCATTTAAAGCAGAAATTGTATATTATGTTCATTATAATGTTGATCAACATAAATTACATGCCTTTGTCTCAATAATCATTAACACAGCTGAAATTAAGCCATATGCTGATGATACAGTGATATATGATTGTAGAAAACTGCACACACCTTCCAAACGTCCTTATGCAATGAGAAACATTACAGTGTGGCTAAATTGATTATGCTTTTAATAAAATGTAAAAAGAATGTAAGCATGTTCACCTCAAAAAGGTAATGCACCTAAAACAGTGCCTAAATTGTCTGGATTAACTCCAATATGTCTGCCAACAAGAAAGATTTAATTGGATACATTTTAACTTTGTTTGAAACTTAATATCTAACAAAACTCTATAAAAGTTAACATGTCCACATCAGAATCAGGTTTGTTGCCAATTACATTTTCACATACAAGGAATTTGCCTTGGTACATTGAAACCCCTTAAAACTAATAATACACTAAAGCTGCCAGGTTGGGAACCTATTATAGGTTTATGAATTTTTCTCCTTGTTGCAGTTATTGTTGTGAAATTTGACTAATGTGATTGTATTGCAGCTGAAGTTCAACCTTAAAAACATATGCAGTTTCCAGGATTTCTGGGATAAAAAATTTACGATTTTCTGAAAAATATGAATCCCTTTTACTGATTGTGCAGAATGGTCTCTTACTTTACTTTATATTAAACTTACCAATGTCTAATCAGAACTTTATTGTTTTAGCGTGTTAAGTTAGAGCTACTTAGTTTATACTTCTGGGATCTAAAACTGACTGATGGATCATATTTTATTTGCAGTATTCAGACCCTTACTTAAGTAAAAGTACTAATACTAACTAAAAGGCATTCTATTCTAAAACAGCCAATATGAACAGTACGATACATCCCAGCAGGTATATAAAAAGAAAGATGTGAATAGAGTATAAAACACACTTCTCTCTGTCTCTGCAGCGACAGGTTTCGGACTATGATCAACGTTTTGGGCGATGCTCTGGCGGCGGGAATTATCGCCCACCTCTGTCGGAAAGATTTCCCCCTCAGTGGATCAGGAAAGGTAATTTTTTTCTTTTTATTTACTGCCCTGTGGTTTATTTATTTTTTTGGAGAGAAATCTGTCTCCCAAAGCGAGTATATATGTTCTGATTGGAAACATCAACCCTGCCATTACACCTGGGAGCTGTTACTTCATTCATGCCTGTTAGATTTGATTAGATTACAGGGGTTTGCTCAGATTGGACCAACAACCACAACAGATTAAAGCTCTGACTCTCACCTTGATCCTGTTGAGTCTTTGTCGAGCCCCGCCCCCCCTCTGCAGCATTCTGCAGTCCATGTTGCCGGGCAGAGAAGTCTATTAATAACCAACTGAGAAACACCTGCAAATTTTGTTTCTATAATCAATCAACTAAATCAGTTACGATCACTCACCAACACAGTCAGCAGGTCGAGCTGCTTTTAGTCTAAATAAACAAGGAAATATTCTACACATATTTACTTTAAACTTAAGTGCAAAGCTGGAGTTAGAACATAGTTAGCCTAGCTTAGCATAAAGGCTGGAAGCAGGGGGAAACAGCTAGCGTAGCTCTGTCTAAGTATGAAAATACACATATAAACACCTCTAAATAATCACATTGTACCTTTAGCATTTCACTGTGGGAAGCTAACGTATGTTGTATGATTCCTCCCCAGTCTGTACCGTCATACGGTACGCAGATTCCTCACAACAACTCCCACAGCGTAGACGTGCCAATGACAGAGATCCACACTCACAAAGACTGCATGTTCGACACGATGGGCGACTCGGCGAGCGAGAGGCATGCGCACACCGTCTACTACAACATCTGTCAGGTGTGACAGATCAGCTCGCCTCAAAACACCGTCCGGGAGGATCCGGTCAAACCTCACCGTGCCATCTGAACAGGAGCGTTAAGAAGAGGCAGACATTGTGGCCACAGAGCGTGAATCTTCATAAAGATGGGGACCTGAGCAGCAGTTTAATTTTGGTGGTTTATTTGCCGTTGAAGAACATGATGAACAAAAGCCTGATCTTCACCAGAGGATTATGGGTACCCTACTGGGAGTTCATCTTCTGGTTTAAAAGACAGACATCTGCACAGAAAACTGGTCGACTGGTCTTTTGTAGCTCCGAGCTAATGAGCTGAAAGCAGGATGCCTGAACTGACATCCAGGGTTGTTAATGGGACAGCTCCACTCTGACCCTTTGTTTAAGACTCTGTGGTTGAAATAACAGTTTATTAAGTAAATCCTCACCTAGTAATCACCATGGCGATTTCTAGGGCTGGGTATCAAACCTTAATACTTCCCTGGTAGTGACAGAAATGTGTCTGTAGTTCCGAGTAGGAATAACTGTCAGGTACCGAAAGCTGGTATCAAATGTATTCTGTATCGTGTGACCTGTAGAGGAAGCGCACTACAGGTCACACTACACAAGACTTCCCGTTTAGACCTCCGCTAACTTTGCCATCGCTGTAATTACACGGTTCGGACACTATGTCAAATTGGCTGGCTTGGGGAAAATGTTTACGAACTCGGACTGGAGCAAACGAACCATAGGTATGAGAACAGCCCTATAGCACATCAGGGTACGTCTTGGGATCCTCCACTACTTCCAGACATTTGTAAGAGGGTAGATAGCCGGTTGTTTTATACTTCTCTTAGAAAGGCATCGAACAATGTGTTGTTTTGATATTAGGATAGTAACTCTTGTTCCACGTGATACCCAGCTCTAGCAGTTGCCCAAACAAATGTTAGGCGGAGAGGTGGATCAGTACCTCGATCAATTTCCTGCTCGTCCCCTTTACTCAGGCCAGAACAAATCCACCAAATTCCGATTGTTTTGGGGTTTTTTTGGATGCTGAAGAGTTGACATCTTAGAGATTGTCTTTTATCTGGGATCTTCTGAAGGGAAGAACTTCTTCATGCTGCTGTTTGTTCTGAACCACATCTCTGTCTTATGTTCAACAGTTCTCTCTGGTGTTTAACAAACCTCTGACTGACCTCTGTATTTGATTGGCCGGTGCTCAGACTGGCTCAAAGGTCAATCCGTCCAATCGACGGCTGAATGAATCCAAGTGCTCTTCATCCTCATCAGACTCAACCTTCTTCTTCTGTCTCGTTTGTATTCGACAGCATGCTGGCATGCGTTCTTACTGGCTTCATTTGAAGTCCATGTGCATTATTTTCTTCTCTTGTTGTTGTTGTTGTTTTGATTTGAATGCTACAAAGTAAACAAAGTGCTGTAGGGATTATGGAAACCTTACCAATGTCAGTTGCAGCTAACATGAACAGATTCTAGCTCTGGTTTCAGTTTATCTCATGCCTCACCTCGGTCTACTAAATATTCAATATAGATTCTCTTACTTTCCAATGAGTTATTGATCTCATCTGGAGCCTCTGCTGAAATCACCTATTTTACTATATTGATTTTGGTTTTTTTGTTGCCTATCAGGCTTCTGAATCTTTTTCGAACCCAAACAGGATGATTTCAAATGGGTCATTAAATGTCCAGCTGGTATTCAAACTCAGAATGTGGTTTACACTGGATGTAGGCGGAGCCAACCACAAATTGTTAATTTAATCCTGAAATTGATACGGATTGATCAGAAGTTGCTATATTTATTAGGAAACTATTTATAGAAGAAGCCTTTTTTTAAATAAAAGTTGCTATATTTACGACTACAGACACATTTTACTCTGACGATACTTGTAGAAGCACGCCATCTGTTCTGGATACTAATTTCTATTTAAAGTGTCTGTGAAGAGCCACAACAACAATTAATTCATGAATTTATTGACTATCAACTTTTTAGATAATTGATTAATGACAATAACAATTAGCTGTTTTTCTTTGTCATATATTACAGGAAATTGAAAATCTTTTGGTTTTGTCCGACAAAAAGAGCAAATTGTAGACTTTCCTGAGAAACTGTGAAAAATGGCCACACTAATTGATTATGAAAAAGATCAATTAGGTAGGTATACTGTTTTAAGTAGCCTCTAATGGTCTTTGATATCCCTAAATATGTAAAAATGTCAACTATCGTTGAATATATTATATTACATATATTACATATATAATGTATATATTATATTCATTCAACAACATGATTTATTCACATATTACTGATTTATGACAACAACTGACCCTTCATAAGCCCTGCCCCATTTTTCCCAATCACAGTTGAGCAACCCTCGGTCAACTTCCTCCTTTCCTGTACTTAGATATGCTACATCTATGTTTGAAAGACAACCACATCTTGAAGATGACTATTTTTACACCTACTGGACTCCGTTAAAAAATTTCTAGAACAATGAAGTCTACAACTAATAGTGATAAATTTTAAATTCAGCAAGAATTTCGACCAACTGCAACGTGTTAATAAGGACTACACTGACTTCATGGACAAACATTATTTATTGAGAGGATTTTTAATGTTTTTTTTGTCTCTTTGCAAGCTGACGTCATTTTTGTTGCTGTTCTTCTCAGATTCAGCAAGGAAGCCCTTAAAACTGGCTACGGTTTTAATAATTATAGGAAGATACTCCTGATTACCATGTTTTAGCCACCAACTGCTTATTAACTAATTAATTATGTATCACCCTCAAATGGTTCACATATTTTATTGACAGTCGATTGGGAGTCATAAAAAATTCCAACTATCGAAATCCTGACTGTCACTGATTATTTATCACAATCTCAATCTGTAACAATTTACGGTATAATACGGAAGATGATGAGAATAAATTAAAGTAAATTGAGATAAAGTTACATTGAGATTACACAATTTATATGTGATTTGTAGTTAAGTGGCTAAAACATGAAACATGGAAGAAACTGTTTTATTTTTGGTGAAGTGCCCCTTTAACTTCTCTGTGTTTAATTAGTTGTGTCTTTTCAGTTTGAACATGAAAACGTAGACCTGCCTTAATCTGACTGTTGACCTCCGTCGTTCTAATCCACAAACCTCAACTTCATCTGCCAACACACCATCAGCCCGACACAACGCAGCATTATCGGTTAAAATTTCATCATGTAAATACTGTTTTTATATGGAATATACATGTGGTTTTGAGTTTGTGTCACTTATGTTTATTTGTATTTGAAAATAAACAATGTGTTATATTGTGTAATATTATTGATTTACATTTATTAGCTATTAGTTACACTACTAGTTACTGTAGAAAGTAATATTATTACTAGTAATGCCTTACTGGCCATCGCTGTTAGACAATGCACAGTGAATTATTCTTAGACTCCAGGAAACAGACAGAAAAGGACTTTTAGAGAGTTGAAAATTAGTTAAAAGTTTTTAATTGTTGGACTTGATTAGCCTAGTCTAGCATAAAGACTAAAAACAAGGGAAACTATTTTGCTTTTCATGGATTAACACTTTATGGCTCGTTTGTTTAATCTGCACTCAAACAGAAAAGACCACAGTTTGTGTTTTGAGTGGGCACAACAGCTCAGAGGGAACACATGGACACACCTATATCGTCACAACTCTGCCGCTATTTTTAACGCTCTCACAGAGCGCCGCGGCCATTAATCCAATAAAGTGAGCGTGAGGCAGCACGAGACCGAATTCCTGCGACTGCACGCAGCTACAGGTGCCTCAGCCGCTAATCCTCCACCACAGATTAAAGTCACAATGAAGATTTAATGAGTGAGGGAGGAACAACAGGGATTAACCGGGATTATTGAGGGGGGCCCTGATTTCGCATGCAGAGAGTTTCTCTCCTCAAGGACGTCACTTATATTTACTTTATGAAAATAATGCTGGAAACGTTTTTTTAGTTTAGAATGAATTAAATCTGGTCTTTTTTTGCGCATTTACACAGTACTTAAGTATAATTTTAAGCTACACTGTACAAAATATTACAAAAAATACCCAAAATATTGTAAAATAACTAAAAAGTATTAAAATTACTCATATTATTTGAGTAAAAGTTATAAAACTGTAATAAAAGTCTGTAATAAAAGTCATTATCTGTGAAATTACAGTAATTATTGCTGTTTTCACTGATAAAAACTATGTCAACAGTTTACTAATGCTTATACACTAAACAACATTTATTCAACGTTTCTGTTGTGAAAACGTAAAATTAAAAAAATTACAAAACAAATACTTCTATTTTACTGTTAATTGTCACTAATTTGACATCATCTCAGAAATGTATTACCAATATTAAACTTGAATCTAACAGTTTACAGTTGTTTACAGTTACAGCTTTTTCCCGTTATTTTACATTAGACATGTAAATTCACAGGATATTTGAGTAATTTTCATAATATTTCCATGTATTTAAAAAAATATCGTAAAAATCAGTAAAATAAGCTTACTGATTTTTTTTTTTTTACTTAACAGTATTTCTACACTGTGGTATTAGTACTTTAGTAAAAGTAGTAAACTATTTAGCAGTGATCTTCCACCGGCAGTGAGCTCTTATTGTAATTAACGTTTTAGCCTCTAGAGGTCACCAGCAGATCAGACTGCTGACAGCGTCTGTGCACTGATGAGAGAATATAAATACATGATTAGAAATAGAATTAACATTTTTAATGATTTTTATTAATTATGGTTAAAAAAGTAGGCCTATGTACTGGGTATAGTTTTATTGTCACTGATTCTACACAACAATTTAGTTAACTAGTCATGAGGCGTATATAACCCCAAAACTGACATAAAACAGTTAAAGTTTAAATTAAATCACTGGGAGTATAAAATAAGTAAATAAATAATTCTTTATAATTTTCCAATCAGTTGTTTTGGTTATAGAGTAGAGGTCTTCCATATTGTGTCATATTTTACATGTCTTCAAATTCCCCAAACTATGTGTAACTGAATAGATGGATTTTTCTTTAATTAAGAAATTCAGTAAAAATAATCACAGTGAATCTGATATGAAGCTTTATTCTCACCAGGACTGACGCACGCATTCAGTTTAGAAAATACACTTTGTTCATCACAGTACATACAATATTAGTACGAGTAAAACGCTGAAAATGTTATATTTTAATTAATGTACAGGTAACAGCATTTTATAATATAAAATAATATCTTTTCACATAGTTGGGGCTCAAGCAATGCAACAAATTACAAATGTTAAATGTGCAGCTAAAGGGCTGTTTAGTGCAGAAACTGACCTGCCTTTAAAATGACTTTTAGAAGGAATGTGATGTAGAGAGAATTTTACATGAGGTAGTGGTTTAACTGCATCTCAACAACACCTCTAAGCCTCACTGAGGCATCCTGGAGACATTTAACCTGTTGACCGTGAGAGCCTCAGACACATGAATGAATTACCAAAACTATAAATTCACAGTTTTTATCTGACCCAGAATGAGTAAAAACCTTTTGTTGTCCGTCCCCACGATCGGCTTCAGATCTGATTTTATTCGTCATCGAAGTCTGCAAAAGCAGGATACCAGTAACTCTCCTTTCTTTCTGAATTGCCTCTCTGCGCGTCGTCTTCCTTTTTTCGTTGGACTCTCTTTATCCTGGAGATCTGAGCAGCAGCCAGGCAGATCATGCAGACCTGCCGGAGGAAACAAAAACAGATCAGAGCTGCTTCTGTTCGAACACGATAGCCGTGTGTTTTCAGGTTGTCGGTCCTAGTCAATGCGATATCTCATGAACACTTTGAGGGAATTTATTCCATTTTGGAACTTATAGGCGTGTTCACACCATTCCCTTCACCCGGCGTGAATTTGCATCTATTATAGTCTTTGCATTGACATTGTGTGTAATCTCCTCGCACAAATAAAATGTGTTATTAGATAAATGTAAATTAAAGTTAAATTATTTACTTTTATGCCATGTTCCCACCAATATAACATTTTATATCAGGTACATTAGGTAACTTTTCCTAAACCTAAGCAAATGTTTTTGTGGCTAATCTTAACCAAACTGCGACAATGTTAATAAAGCAATATTTTGTTTGAAAGTCTGACTGGACATTGCATATTTATTATTGCTAACTTGACCACAAAGCCCTGAACAGTTCTGAAAGATCTTTGATAATGTGATAAAAGTTGTAAATAAAACTCTGCTCAGGGTTTCTGTATTTCACAGATTTTAAATCATGTTTTGTTGTTTTGATCTTGTCGGATGTGAAGTGAAGTCAGTGGCAATACCTCGAGCAGCAGCAGGCCGGCAGTCAGACCGGCCACCAGCAACAGGTTATTTTTGGCCCACCAGACTATCTTCTCCAGGCAGCCAACGGTGAAGACGTCCTGAACGGCCGAAAGCTCCTCCAGCTGCTGCATCCCATAACCACACATGGTGTTCAGCACCGTCTGCAAGAAAGTGAGGTGTTTATGGTCATTTTTTATTTCTGTCTTTTCTCACTACCTGTTCATCTCCTCTGAACTGATGTCATGGGAACGCCCACAAAACATTGAGCAAAATAACATTGAATTTGCCAGGTACAAATATGAAAATATAAAAATGTCAACATCTACAGGAAAGATTTTTATGAACTTATGAACGTAGGGTGCGAATCAAACTATGATTTAATAAGTTCATTGGTGCAAGAAGCCAGTGAGACTTAAAATCCCTCATCCCTCATTCCCAAAACCCAAAAGATAATGCATGCTTTGTTACGTTTGACTACAAACTTAAATTAGGATTTCTTAAACCAGTAAACCCAAAACTCCAGGCATCCAGGAGTCCCTTCATAAACCTGTGAAGGACCATACAGACCTGGTTCTGTTGGTGGACGCAGCAGGAGAAAGGAACTCCACAGGCCTCCAGACTGGGGTTGGTGTCCGAACAGTTAAAGTAGACGTTCTGGGACCAGTCCTTATATCCCTCGACTCCACAGCACTGAAACTGCAAACACAACAAACTGGATTATAGAAGGTCTGACTCTGCCTTAAAAACACAAATTCTTCTTTTTCACCTTCTTCTGGATAAAGTCGATGGCGTTCTCCAGGTCCTGATCCTCCCTGTAGAGGACGATGGCCTTCATCATCAGCCTCTCTGTCCTCTCCATCACCTCAACAACAACAGCATCATCAGTACTGGCACTTTAGTTTGAGTTTATACAGTAAACGGCTGCAGGAAGCGTCTGTATCTCCTTTATATTTCCTATCTGATCAGTGTGGCATTACCATGTCAGTGAAGAGGTATCCCACAACTCCAGCGGCGATCTGCAGCAGGAGGACGGTCGCCAGGATCCCCAGAAACTGCAGGAAATAGCAGCACCAACACGAAGAATAAATATCTCGTTAATCAAATGCAATCGGCTGATCGGTGATCAATCGTACCGTCTTCAGCAGGCAGGTGGCATTACGCAGCGCCCCGAAACACCCGAGGAACGTGATGAGAAACATCACCGAGCCGACGACAATCAACAGCAGAGCTGGATCCAGTGTCAGGGTGTCGACAACATCTGCACACACACAGTGAGTAAAAGTTTAAACATGTCTGATTAACTTTCTGGCTCATCATCAGGAATGTTATCAGCATTGTTTTTATGAGCCGTGCTGCCTCTGGGAGTGTCCTCTAAGTCTGGTGGGATTCGGTTTTAACTCTTGATTATAAAAGAGATCTGGTTCTCATAAGGTGGAAGTTTTGGTGTAATTTTATATATATTTACTGAATATTTTATACATTTATTGCATGTTTTTATATTGTGTTTTTATGCTTTTTAGGATTTGAATGCATGCTTTTAAGTTGAAAAACATTACAAACTACAAACAGTACATGAACAGACAATACCAAAGGACAGACAGGAATAAATGAAACATAAGTTAGTTCAATAAATTGTACAAGTTAAATAAACGCAAATTTTAGATTTCTTACTTATTTTTACAGTATGGGAGTAATTGAATGTGTTGTTTGATTTAACTTGATGGTTTTTAATTAGAACAATAAGATTTACGGATGTGAATGAAAAAGAGGTCAAACTGATGATAAGTTACTGATTTCTTTTGGTAGAAGAAGAAGAAAAAAAGCCAAACAATACACTTTCATATAAAAGAATAAATCAGAAACAATAAACAAGGAAATTAAGTAAGTCAGTCTCCATAAGGCCCAATATTAAAATGTCTAGTGTAGAAATAAACATATTTACAGCCTGTTGCTCTCTAGAGATAGTTTCCCTGTTCACTACAACTGTACAATTCACCCCTTTAAATTATATTAAGGATTAAAGTTATTCATAATTAAGGGCTTCGTGCTTTGAGCTCCACCTCTTTGTTTGGATCAGCCAGGAGCCGGCGGAGTCAGGACGGCCAGAGCTGCCTGATTATTTGTATTATAGCAGTGTTCGTCTGTATTTATAGGTAATTTCATTGGTTTTACAGTGTAGATTTTATGTAAAACTTAAAGCTAAAAAAAAGTATTTTAAGTTCAGTTATTGTTTTACTGTATTTTTTTGTGCTCTGGATGCTTTTTACAGTTTCGCCGTGAACTTTATTTTGAAAATCTAACTAGATGTTGCATATTTACAGTCAATAACTTGACAAAGGAGCCCTGAACGTCCAGAAAGAACTCGAAAATGTATTTATAATTTGCAGGTGACAATCATCCGACAGAAATAATGGCGCCACCAACTGGAAGAAACAGTGAAACGATGTTTACAGTGAAAACATACTGAAGGACGTAATAAAGACTCTCAGGGTTCATAAAGTTCCTGCAGTGGAAAAGAGCCATTACACATATTCAGTACAGTCTATTGATATTATCTTTTGACCAACCATTCTCCTTGGCGATCTTGGCGTAGATCCCCACCGCTGTGAGAACGGCGCTCACAACCTGCAGAGTCACAGAGGAAGACGTGATGAAGCACAGAAAACATCAGACAGAAGGGAGATCTTGTCTCTTTGGTTAGAGCTATGCTAGCAGCTCCCCTGCTTCCAGTCTTTGTGCTAAGCTAGGCTAAACATGTTTATTGGACTCAGGATAAGATCTAACTCTGGGTACCAACAACTCTGTTGAAAACATTGTCGATGTAGACGTGTTTGTACAGGTACAGGTGAGAAGATGAAATACTGAATCTGAAGCTTCATTCTTCACCTTTAATCATCATTCTTAGGAAATCAGTGGAGAATATTTCCAGGAAATAACAGGAGAGAGCTGGAAGAACACTGCTGTCTAACATATATGGAAGCCTGTTTCTGACAGGAAAAGAAAGGTTGTAAAACTGCTGCTGGTTAGTCTAAATGATCAGATGGTACAACCTCAAAATGATGAGATAGTAAGTCAGAATTTAAGCGGGGCCCGAATGAGCCACAGAACCGGAGAAATAAATTAACTAAATGTTCAGTCTTCTTGCTGCTGGTTCTGACACATTCAGAATCATTACCACTGTTTCTGTTAGCATAGGCTGCTGTTCACATTTACACTTTATAATCATTTAACACATATTAATATTTGACGACTAGTCAGCTAGGAAAGTCTTTAGTCTTATTTATTTAGTTATTACTTTATGTCCTATGTTTATACCGTATTTTTTATATTTCTTACACTGT